AATTCAGATAATTCAGATAATTCAGATAATTCAGATAATTCAGATAATTCAGATAATTCAGATAATTCAGATAATTCAGATAATTCAGATAATTCAGATAATTCAAGATATGTAGATATTGAAGTCATAACATCAAACATCAACCGATACAATATATACTACGAATCTTAATTCCACTGTAATGAAGTAACAAACTACTACTTCACAATATTCACTCCTCATCCTCTTCAAACAGTTCAATCCCGTCTACAGCAACTTCGAATCCTTTAAAACCACCGTTAGCAGAAGTAACATCAAGTTAGGCTTAGTGAGAAGAGACTTACCGTCGGTGCCTGTTGCCCCAAACGTGATAGTGTTTACATCACCAGGCTTCAGGGTAAGCTGAACCGGAGTAGAAGTGTGGTATCCCGCGCGAGAGTTTAGGCTCGAGATGTTGACGGCCGGCTCATCGTTGACGAATATGTGGGCCTCGCCAGCTAGAGTAATGGTTATTCAGCTTCGATACCTCTTAGACAGAAGAATAGAATATTGCTACTTACCCTCTGGGTTGGTGACTCGGTAGTGGAAAGATAGCCACTGACGAGATCCAGTACCGGTGACGTTGTGGAAGGTCACGTCGCTTGAGTCGCCCACTATGAACGTGGTTAGTTAGTCCAGCTCTAACTAACACGTCTCGTTCGGGGTAGAATGTAATATGACTTACCTCCGTGTACAGAACGCTTGCTTAGGCACTCATTGCAATCTTTCACCACTTCCAACTATCAGCCTCTGGATTTAGGAGTTGTGGTTTTTGGTACGTTACCTGTCCTGCCTGACAATACGGCGTGTTCGGCCTCGTAACGCTTCTGGGTGCTAGGGTAAGAAACCACTCCGGTATTAACATCGACTTTCCACATCGAATGGTAGTCAATCTGAACCGAGTGCGATCTATACAAAGCACAGTTATAGTTAGCCAACCCAGCATCTAGTTATCAGAGGCTTTGGTGTTTTCGAATCAACCTACCCAGCATTGATGTTCAGGGGTGCCCACACATAGTTCGAGCTCGCTCCTCCTTTCGAGTCCCAAGCATCTCCCATATAAATATAAGTGGTCTTTTGCGAGCCCTTAACCGTCAACTCGAATGTGTTCTGCGAGCCGTAGGTGTTCTGGTCCTGTGGAGCAATGTCCGATCCTCCAGCCCAAGGGCCGTTAATCGAACTCGACCAGAAGACCTTGTTGGGATTAGCACGCCAACCAGTCTTCCCCGAGACAATCAAGAAGTACACCCCATCAGCTTTCACTATGCCTGGGGCTTCATATGCTCCGCTTCCTATTTAACTCCATTCAGCAGTTATTACGCGCTAGTACGGACCAAAGACGTACTCAGATCTGAAACTTTGTCGCCTAGCGCACCGTCACTGTTGATGCGGTTAACCTGGACGATATTGTGGTCGGCGCTGGTTAGGAGGAACCATGTATCTAATGTGATATATCCGTCAGTTAAAAGAACCCTCCCGGTATTTGATAAGCTTGCTTCACCTGAGTCTTCGTCGTAGAACATCCCAGTATCCGAATAGGAGTAGTCGTTTGGTGGGATATGAACCTTGGCCGACTGGCCATAGCCCCCGACGAAGTTCGCCGACTTTAAGGAAAGAACATAACGGTCCTGCTGGCCATACAACTGTCGCCACCCACCCATTTAGTAAGATTCCAACAGGTAAGAATGTTTCTGAACGAAGTATCTCATACCCAAAATGAACCGTTCGGCTTTGCTATCTTTGGCCGCCACATTCCACTAACAGAGCTCGCCTGTTGCCCAAGGTTCTTCCAGTTGATGAGATCAGTGGATGAATACAAGTTCGGCGTCTGGTCTTAGAGATATTGTTAGTGATTAACTAGCTTAGACATTATGAAATTCGATGCCATTTACTGCTAGCTGCGTGGCCGACCCAGTAGAAGGTATCGCCACGCTTCACGACACCTCCTCCATGAGCATCGATTTTGTTTCCATCGGTGTCATACCACACAGCACCCGGCGCAATCCATGATGCGCCCAGGGCGCCGGTTGCCGCGGAGGCCCACAAGAGTGAAGATGGCTTCATATTTCGTCGTAGCTTATCTAACCGGGCAGCGATTTAGCTTGCATGTGCTGCTAAATACATGCTCTTCTAGCTACGCCGATCTTCGCTCCCCTATCTCGTATTATATACAGCGTTGACAGCATCCCCTACGCCCACCGGCCCTCGGTGTAATGTCATGGCGAGCCTGATCGGATAATTAGTGGCTTCTACAAATTTTCTTATTGTCGATGTCACCGTAACGGAGGATTGATCGTTTCGGGATACGGACGCGTTCCCTCTATAGAAGGCTAGACATCACGAAAGTGCGGGGACACGATATAACAAAATCGCTATAGGGTCTAGCACCCGGGATCAAACAGACTATATAATACACGTTATGAATTTCCTTCCAGCATCTCATATATCTTGCTTTGGATTAGGTATGGATTTTGGTGGTTGCCTGGGTCGGTTAAAGTTGATTTAATGGTGTTCTGGAACGATCTGATTTGACAATACCTATAGTTCCAAGCTCCATCAAGCGTTTGATGAAACTTCTCCCTATAATAAATGCAGGAACAAGGTTGAATTGGATTGGCCCACTACGTCTGAATGGCGTGCTAATCACGCCAATGGAATTATCCAAGAGAGTGAATAGAGCACATCATTCAAGCTTGTTATCATCAGCAGCATAATAGCTTTGCTAAGCACCCTTTTCGAATCACGTTTACCATGTCTTCAGTAGCTACTTCATAATAGTATAGTTAACTTACTTTCAACCTGACTAGTTCACCGAGCGTGAGATATATACTCATCCGTCACCGAGTTATAATCCGGGAATTTAAGCGGAGCGTCTACATACGCCTGACGATTAAAAGGTATAATATACACTTGTGCTCTACTAGAAATCCTACACGAGCAATATCGTATAACTACTATCGCCTTCGTCGCAACTTATACCGTGTTTCCAGACATATATATGTTAGAAATTTGGAGGTTACTTCAACGAAATCTGGTATTCAAGTGCCCCAAGAATTTCCGAGGTTAATATCTTACATAGTACTCTGCGCTCGATAGTGCAAACAGTCAATGATGCCCAACTCAAACAATCCGATTCGATATTAAATCCATCTCCACCATTGCGCATAAGATGATGGATACCTACGCGTGGAGAATCGCTGCACCTCTCGCTACCGAAGCTAGGCGATACGAGGCATCCCGTCGGTATACCCACCCGACGGACCCGTTGCGGAGTAGACGTCGAACTTCTACACTACAAGAATCCTGACTTCGCCGTGTATATGTGGCAAAGTCCACATACTATATTCACCATCTTGCATCATGGAGGTCAGAAGATGGCGTGTGCTTGACGTTCCACGAGGCGACACGAGTGTGAAAGTTCCAAGGCGTCATTTCCCTAGGCGCTGCAGCATGCAGCTATGTACGGTCCCGTAGCTAAAAGGAAAGGGGCGTCATCACAGCTTCTGAACGGGACTTTGCAGATTGACACGACTGCCGCGTTTCGTGGTCGAGCACGGGAAGCGAAAACTGCCTGGACCCGGCCCCCGACCGACGCTCTCGCACGCACCGTACGGTGGTCAAGCGGATACGGCGTCTCGGTGCGTGGGGATCACTGTCGAAACCGCGTCGAACAACGCATAAGGGTATGGAGATAGACCCATAACTTGTCAACTTGTCGACAATGAGCTTGCTACGGGCTGCCCGCGTGGATAGACGGCCCGGCTCGTGCGCAAGAAGCCAACGTGTATACCTGAAATATAGAGATCGTAGCGCGGACGGGTATACTTGCATGTGGTGGATGGGGCTTCGAGAAGCCCTATCACCATCCGGTAGGTATAGCTCTACGAATTGAGCTACAAAGGCGATACCATGTGGTATCGCGTGGCATCAAACGGGTGGGAAAAGAACGACGATGTCCTAATTTAAGAAGCTTCAGGTTTATCATGACACGACTAATGGCTACTTGGCAAACGCTCGACGCTAATCTTTCTTACACCGCAGTATTCGGATTCATCCTACGATGGTAGACTCAGCTCGCTTACCGGAATAGCTACTCGCAAATGATACTACGTGGGCGTGCTCTGCTGGCGCCGGTCGATCGCTTATTCCAAGAGGCAATAGCCGTCTAAATCATTAGGATTAGGGGTATTTCAGCCAAGAGTTTTCGAGATGATTTTTGAGCGGTAAGGACATTATCTCGGAATGGCCTATTTGTCGTATCCTGGCATGTGAACCAGACCCAAATCCACCGTCATTGTTCTCCTGAAGCTGTACCGTAATTAGTCGGATCACATTGGCTACTCATAGGTCATTATCTTTGCATGTTGCCCATGAACCCCCTAATAGCGAATTTACATTAGCCGCGATCGCCATAAACCACCAGAGCACACTATCAAAGATCGTAGAGCTGAAAAAGGGGCCATATTCAGTAGGCGTTTGCATGTCGTGATGATTCAGCCGTGCTACATTACAAATGAATTGGCATTACCGAGGCACTTAGAATCCTAGGCTCAAAGTTCCTATTCTTATCGTGACTTCAGCTGTTTAAACCCGTAGGGCTTAATTGATTGGTAACTCGATATACTGGCTACATGAACGCGATTGAAGCTCCAATCGGGCAAAAACCCACCTGGTAGATGCTGCTAGGCTATTTGATATCCTTACCTTACCCCAGGCTAGGTATAATGTCCAAGCTTCGGGACGGGGTGGTTGGCCTCGTAACGTCTAACATTGCATCCAAGCTTTTGTCAATGCTTTTTGAGGGATCTTCGGATACGATACCGTAATTCGATAATGTCAAGATCTCGGCGTATAATGAGCTATCTACTATAGCTAGTCGCATCGATTGCGAAACAGATCTTCGAGCTCGGACATGTGACGAACGATAGATTCACGACGGTGGTAGGACCGGTTAGCAACAGCTTTTCTTGAATCTCTCCAAATCAGGAAGCTAATGGCTCGTAAAAAATCCTGGCGTCTCCACTTTGATCCAGAAGGTAAGGATGTGTATTAGGATTTGTATTAAGTAGCCCGGTTTTAGTAACCGGTTGTCATAGCAACAAATTGGAGATTTGACGATCAGGGGTAAATTGGACGTCAGCAAGAAACGTGGACAGAGCACTTTTTCCGGTAGGTATTCGAGACGTGTCAGGGCGTGCTGATGGCTTGGAACATACTATGTAGCAATTGACCGGACGATGTCAATCAATTGGTGACATCAAGACAATTTAGGAGGGTTTGAGTTGAATTTATCGAAAAGTAACTCCAGTTGCACCAGATTTGAAATGTAGACCCCACTCGACATGAGTGAGATCTGACCCCCCGTGGGACCGTGGGACCGTGGGACTGTGTGCAGCGGAAGAAGCAAAGCTCACTTCAATGTAACTACTCAGCCTGTCTGCATTAGGCGTGCATAAGTCCAGCTGAGTCGCACACCATAATCCACTGCATAACCCAATGAGCGGAACCCACGATATTACGCGTAATTGAAGATGCCTTGCTTTAATCTGCAAGTGTCAGCAAAGGTGGTTGGGAATCATGTCATTCCCAGCCGTGATTCGTCCTTGCATATAAGACCGATTCAGCTATCGGTTCTGTAAGTGGTTGGTTGCTTTAGTGCCCAGCTTTTCGAAGATGAGAAGATGAGACGCTCTGCCTGCTTTTCTCGGGAGATACCAGCCTCTTCGATTTCCTACAGCGGCAGGCAATCAATAGCTGCTGCGCTGCTGCGTAACCCAGTTTGAACTGTCAACTTCTTACGGTAGGCGTAATAGATGTAATATGTGTGATATGTGCTGCAATAGTGAGCGGTTATCATATTATGATGCCAACATAACACCGGTTGAGGTTGATACATATGAGAGTTCCATGGGCGACACGCGCGGAAAATAGTGACTGTAAGTCCTCAATTTCCACCTATCGATTTGAACCAGCAAATAGAGAGATATCACAACCGAGGAAGGCTGGCAAGCTGGCAACTAGGTAGCCTCTTTGTTTTTTGTTTTTGTTTTGGAATCCGGACGCCCCTACTATGTACATATGTATGTATGTAGGCTGGGCTCATGTAGGCTATCAAAGAGCTAAGAGGAGGCTGGACCGGTTGGAGGATTCGTTGGTTCGATCTGATCATCACGGGTGGCCTAGTGGCCCGGTGGTCCAACATGGATAGGCGATTGGGTGGACTTCCCCGGCAAACGGTGAAAAGTGAAACTACAGGCGAACCAGGGAATCAAGGGAGGAGGAAGTTGAACGAATTTGGTTCGTCACTGGCTACATGCTACATGAGCTAGATGCATGTAGGCTTGCATGTAGGCTTGAATAAACGGGAGGGGGCTACACTAGAAATGGCTGGTAGGGGCTGGGAAATCAGGAGACAGTAGGAGACAGTAGGAAACTGGTACATAGTAAAAGAAAGACAGTGTAAAAAGTGAGGTCGGTTGGTCGGTCGTAACTTACTGCCCCCGTGCGAAAAACAGTCTCAATTTCCCTGCCCCCAGCCGCTTAACTTGTTTTAGGGTAGGATAAACACACCAGACCCATGATGGCCCACTCAAGTAAACAAGCTCCTTCCCATTCAACCCCTGTAGAAGCTCCGGACAACCTACGAACACGACCTGCCACGCCAGTGCTTCCTTCCCTCCCACAACAACCCGCAGTAACCCGCAGTAACCCACAGTGACCCCCCAGTACAGTACAATAACATCGATACTGCCCATCTTTCTCCCTGCAGCATCTCCTATTTCTTTCCTTCCAATAAACTGTTCTGACACTTCACCTCCTTTTCTTCTAACCATCAAACCCAACATCTCTTTCACAACCCAATACAGCCTATCTTTCCCCGCTCTTCCAGCCTGAACGAGAGAATCGAGTACAGAAGCGAGCAATTTCCGCCTGCTTCAACTCCCTTCTTTTCTTTCAGTATAGTAGAAAGAAGAGCAAGAGGAATCTTCTTGTCTTCCTTTCGCCCTTAGTCGAAAGGTTGTCGAGGAGAGGACTCTCGCGCCGAAAAGGTCGCCAACCTGGACTTTGAAGCCCGCGTACCGGTCCCCTTTAGTATCTTCCCTCGGACATACAAGGAGACTGAGGTAGAGACCACCACCCACACTCACGAAGAGATTCAGATCGATCTCCCCGGAAAACCAGAGAAAGCCGGACGGGAAGGTCAATACTCTTCTATCTCTGCTTCAGCTCAGTTACCTCCGCGTCAAGAGCAACACTTCAGCGAAGAAGAGGTCCGCATCACACGTGAAGAAGAACGTTACCGCCGTCCCGGTGCCCACCGTGAGCATTACGAGGAGCACAGGTCAGTCTACCATATTTTCTTGATTCTTAGAGCCCTTTATCTCTTCGTAAAAGAGCTAGGATTTCAATAATTACGCAACTGGCTCCATTATCAGAGCCCGAGCTTCTGGTCTGGGTCAATTCCGGCCCGCAATGGATTCAATTTTGAGCCACCTAGTAAATTGGCCAATATGGAGCCATGGAGCCATGGAGCCATGGGGCCAGTGCATTGTTCATTTTCTGAAAATCCCTGTCAGGTGCTTGGGCCTTGGTCAATCCCCCCCCGTTGGCTAAGTAACTTGTAAAAATATCTTCAACTGACAACAAACCTCTTCCGATAGACCTCACACTCCTCACACTTCTCACTCTGAGTCTCATTTCAAGCCCAAGCACTC